TTCCTCTCCCTGGACCTCAATCTCTCTGCCTGTGAAAATGAGAAGATTGTCCAAGTTGACCTTGATGGGTGCATTTCAGGTCTGCAAAATGGGAGCAATAGCCTTGACAGCTTTACTGGGGGAAGAGAGAGTGAAATGTGGCACGACTCTCTGCGTCATGCCTGGCACACAGCAGGCATTCAGTAGGTGGTGGCTTTGCCGTCATGGTGGTGATACGGGTAGAGTCTACGGGCTGAGCTGCTGCCCTGCTCTCCCAGCAACGCGAGTCTCAGGCCACAGCAAACTTGGCGTCTCTTTCTAAGAGAGCCCTGGAAGACCAGATATTATTACTCTTCCTTTTCTTCTGTTAAAGAAAAGTAAAGTGATACAGCCACTCCTAAATGAAATAAGTGATAATCCCAGGAATGCACAGCCCCTGAAAAAGGAAGGCTCAGAGCAGGCAGAAAGTAAGTGCTCCAGACTCAGAGTCCGACGTCCCAGCAGTGTTCTCAGGCCAATGTCACCACTCTCTTGGGGGCCACGTGGTCCCCTCTGCCAAACAGAAGTATTAGCGAAGACCTTGCCTGCCTGAAAGCAGCGCTGGCCCACATCACTCTTTGAGGCCCCATCCATGGCTATAAGATGGGGTCACATGTTTTGTTTGGATAGAGCAGGCCCCCACATCTTCTTTGGGGTTGAGCCCTCCACCAGCGCTCCTCAGACGACAAAGCACATGGGGTTCACCCGGTTCTTGCCAACACACAGACCCCGACGGGGTGGGTCTGGATGGGGCCTGAGACCTGCATTTCTACAGTTTTTTTTTTTCTTTTGGCCAGGGCCGGGTTTGAACCCACCACCTCCGGCATATGAGGCTAGCACCCTACTCCTTTGAGCCACAGGTGCCACCCAAGAGACCTGCATTTCTAACAATGGGGAGGCTGCCGCTGCTGGGTCCATGGGGCACACCAGGAACAACAAGGTCTCGGAGGTTAAAATAGTGAAGAAATTTTATTATTCTCATAACAGGAAGTCCCGAGGTAGGGTGACCCACATGAAGATACTGTATTAAATAGACATTTACTAACCCGTGAACATGGAAAAAACAGGTCACGTGACCTGCGACGTGGGCCCGAGGGAGGCCCAGCCCCTGCTTCTTCAGGTTCTCTGACTACCACCTTCTCTACAAGGGTCACTAGAGACAAGTGCCAAAATTCCTGAGACAGGACCCCAGTCCCCCTCGCAGCTGGCACTGGCAACTAGAATCCCAGACTTCACCTCTGCGTCCCCTCTCTCTTGCATGCCCTGTCCCTTCCCTCAGGTGACTCTTGGACCAGCCTCTTCCCTACTGTCCCTGCTGCCCCCGCTGAGGCCGTGTCCTTAGATCTACCCAGGTGAACGCCATCCCGCTCCTCTCCCCAGCTCAGCTTACCCAGGCTGCCCACCTGGCCCAACGCCGGCTACCACACTGCTGCCCTGCTGACCTTCCGGGGGGCTCCTTCCTGCCTGAGCTCCTGCTCTTAAAATTCTGTTCTTCCTCCTCCTTCTCTCACTAGCAAAGTTCCAGTGGGGAGAGAGCAAAAAGTTGCTGGATTACAGGGGAATTCATTTTCAGTTCTGCCTTCCCTCTCTTAGCTTGCCATCAGAATAAACGAGGAGCTCCTCCCAAAACGTCTCCCCAGTCTAGGGAATAAAATAAACCACATATGCAATAAGAAGGGAGCCCAGGCAGAGAAGGGGTGGGGGGGGGCAGATGGGAGTCAAACACCCTGGGTGATACGGGGGGTTGATTGGAGGCCCCCCAAAGATGGGTCTGTGTCCCAGGACCTACATATGTGACTTTATTTGGAAAAAGGCTCTTTGCAGATGCAATGAGGTTGCCCTGTGCAAAGTGTCCTCATAAGCAACGCACGGAGCAGAGGCAGGAGGAGGAGAAGGTCATGGGAAGGGGAAGGCAAAGGCTGAAGTGACCCAGCCATGAACCGAGGTAGCCTAGAGCTACCAGAGGCTGAAAGAGGCACAAAGGAACCTCTCCTGCAGCCGTCAGAGGGAGTGCAACCCTGCTGACACCTCCATTTCAGACTTCTGGCCAACAGAACAGTAAGGGAATAAAGTGCTTATTGTTTTAAGCCACCTGGTCTCTGCTAATTTGTTACAGCAGCGCACAGATGGAATCCCACGCTGCCACTTCTGAGCAAGCTTGGATAAACTGCTTGACCTCTCTGAGCTGACTTCCTTATCCATAACAGGGAGCCATCGATTTCTTTCATTAATTCATTCAATTGGTATTTATGGAGGGTGTGCAATGTGTCAGGCCTCAGAAGTGAACAAGTTCAGCCTTGGACCCTGTCTGAATGGAGCCTGTGGTTGGGTAGGGAAGCCACTGATCAAAGAATTACGTGATAAGGTGAATGGCTATCACCACGTCAACGTGGTGCTGGGCATGTGTGAGTCAGGATAGCAGGAAGGCCTCCTCTGGGGAGTGATGACGGAGGGGAGGGGAGGGATGACGGAAAGGCAGGAAGTAGGTAAAGAGGGGCAGGAAGTTTCCAGCCAGGAGAAGGGAATGCACAGGGACTCCGGGTGCAGGGAGCACACGTGTCCAGGGAGCTGTCAGGAGGCCGATGTGACTTGAGCCACACTGTGGGGGCGACTGTATTGAGAGATGAGGCTGGAGAGGGGACAGGGGCTAGCCTAGTAGGGCCTCAAGAGCCAGGCCAGAGGGGCCAGTCTTTCCCTTGAGTGCAGCAGAAGCCACTGGCAGGCAGTCAGCAGGGAGGGGTGTGATCAGACGGGCCTTCGCAAAGATCACTTGAGCTGCAGAGTGGCAGTAGGAAGACCAGTAAGGAGACTCTACTGTCACCCCAGAGAGGGGGCAGTGGCTCACACCTAGGGGGAGTGAGGGTGGGGAAGGGCCGGATTCAAGAGCTACTGAGGGGGTACAGCCGCACAGTGAAGCAAGCAAGCACCGAGAAGGACCATGCCGGCTCGGCGCGACCGAGGGGCTGCCTAGCTCCCGAGTGATGCGGGGTCCTTTTTCTTCCTTGTGCCAAAAAGGCTGCAGGGGACCTGGCCCCAGGTGTCAGCACCTGTTATTGGCTTCACTGAATGGGGGTGAAGTGGGTACCCACAATTTATAGAGCTTAGAAAATCAACTTACCATTCTTGAGTGAGAAGCTCAGAAGGTCCTGAGGGAAAAGGCACTGGAATCAGTGATAAGTTGATATGCAATCAGCCCGCGCATTTGACAAATATTTACTAGCACCTACTAAGTAGGAGAACAAGACAGACAAAAAGCCTCTGCCCGAGATGCTAGTAGTGAGCCAGATAACAAACTAGTAAGCAAAGAAAGAAAGAAATAGCAAATAGCGAGAACTTCAGGCAGTGAAATAAAGGAGGGGGAGGGACTGTTTCGAATCAATGTACTTGCCTGTCAACAACCGGTGTCACAAGCCTCTGTGTGCCTTAACTGCACACAGAGTGGGTATGTGACATGCTCAAGGGGACCTGGCAAACCTGCTGTTCTGAAAAGAGGCACCATAGCTTGGGGGAATGCCAAGGTTCAAGTCCTGGTTTGGCCACTTGTCAGCTGTGTAACCATGGACAAATTACTTAACCTCTCTGTGCTACAGTTTTCTAAACTACAAAATGGTGATATACCATTTTGTACACCTACCTCATGACATTGCTTTGAGAGTTAAATGTAAAATGTAAAATAACTAGCACGTAATCACCACTAGAGTAGCATGACATCAATACACACGTAGTAAATATTCAATAACGGTAATTCAACCTCAGCTCTGCTTGTAATAATACGATATTATGAGGACATAGCTGTGACCAGCTATTAGGTGTACCTGAGTGATCACTGATGGGTCATCCTTCAAAATGGGGTCCTTCAACAAAATCTGAGCAAACACGTCTGCTCCTTCTCCTCCCAGGCCACTGGCAAAAGCAGTCATGGTTGGCAAGACGGCTTCAGACAACTGCAGCCACTTCACCAGGCCCGTCACAAACTCTGTGCAGAAGGAGCTAAAAGGCAGACAGGGCTTAGGTCTCAAAGCTCCAGGGAACTTGGGCTCAGAAGGCCATTGGGAGGTACAGTTCAGTTGTGGTCATGACTGTGAACAGGGGGCACGTGCACACACACACACACACACAACTTAGCAACCGTGATCCATGAAATACAAAACGTAATTTTAGGTGATGTGGATTTTAGCTTCTTCTTCCACCAAAACTTTGATCAAAGAGGCTAATAAGCCACAGGGAGGGGGCAATGGACAGTTACTGGCTGTGCTGGGGCTGAGGAATCAAAGGAGAACAAGGCTTAGTCTCTGATGAGGAAGCTCATGGCGGGGTGGAGACACTCAAGTAACCAAATGACCCCAGGGCCTGTGGTGCCCTAGGACAGAGCAGGAATTCAGTCCCAAGCAGCCAGGAGATGCAGCCCCAAGTCAACTGCGGCGGTGAGGGCAAAAGCAGGAAAAGGCTTCCTAGAGAACGTGATTTGCTGCTCCTGCAAATCACCAAGGATGCGCTTTCTGGAAAAAAACCATTGCACAGATGGATAAAGTGAAGAAGGAGGCACCTTTCCCACCACACGCACTGTCACTGCTGGGCTCTGTCCATGCTGGGCATCTGAGTGGGGTCCTGCAGGGGAGCGTGGATGGGGGCTGCTCCAGTGGAGGGCTGGATGGGCTGAGACACAGAGATGGGGAGCCCATGGCACTTGGGCACTTGGCAGAGTCCACATCACATGTCTGATGTACAGCTCCCTCTGGAGCAGGTGTGAGCTGGGTGGTGGGGTTGGGGGATGTGGAGCAGAGGAGTGGACCAAGAGGAGATGACACCAGCCCAGGGAAGAGGCTGTCAGCCTGCCTTGAACTGTACTGCCCTGGGACTCCGGCCGTAGGATCTACCCCCTACAGACCACATAGAGGTAGACTCAGCCTTCCCAGTAGAGCTCCTGGTGGTAGGGGAGCCCCCGCCCCTGCCCTTGCACCACATGACCCACTCATCACATTCCTTAGTGTGGTTGCAGGGTGGAGAGGCCTCTGATCAGAGCCACAAAGAACTTGGGTTTGAATCCTATGACTGGATTCCCAGGAAGCTGCCCTGAAATGGAGAAGATGAGGGCTCCCCTCGGGATGAATACCTGCAGGAGGAAGGGAAGACACAGGCTGAGCAGAGGGGGCAGTTGAGCCATCATGAAATCTCCAGAGAGGCGGTGGCCCACCCTGCGAGGAGTTCTGAAGAGCTGCCCCAGTGGGTGAAGAGAGCTGGGTCTTCATAGCCTCAAAACAGCCCATTGTTGAACACAGGTGTCCCAGAGAGGGGGCAGAATATCGGGTAAGGTGGCTCTCTTTAGTGGAGATGGGCCCCAAAGAGGACAGGTAGCTCAGGACTGGGTGGGTGGCCCTCCCAGCAGCCAGGGGTAAATGTTCTTCATTCTTGAAGGGGGATCTGAGGGCACGGCATCTTGGGAAAGTATCTTGACCTTCTGTGCCTCAGTGTCCTTATCTGCAAAATGGGCTCAAGAGACCAGTTTCATAAAGCTGGCTGAGGCTTAAATGAGGTAATACATACACCCCAGAGAGGGCCTGGCACCTAATAGATGCTCAATAACGTCAGCCAGCACCATCACTCTTAGGTACAAGGGCACAAGGAGAGTTAGTGGGGGACAGGCTGAAGGGTCAGACCCTGGAGTCCAGCCACCTGGGGGAGTCCCAGCCCCACTGAGTCCTCACTTCACCTCTCCCAGCTTGATCTTCCTCTGAAGTAACATGTGGACGATAACAGGGCTTACCTCTAGCTTCACTGGGAAGATTAAATGACATAGCAACAGTGTCTGGCACCAGGAAACCCTTGATAAATGTCAGCTACTGCTATTACAATGATTATAATTTACCCTAGCGCAATTTACCAGGATTACCCTGGGGTGGTATGTAGGTGTGTATGAGGAGGAGGGGACTGCTAAGTGAACTGAACATTACTTAGAGGCGAATTTATATGCACCAATTACTCAGGGCCATGGGCAGCAGCATGGCCTGACCCTGCTGTCTTTGAAGAAAGTCTTGGATGCAGAGACTTGGGATGTTATAACACAGTGTAAGGAGCACAACCTCTGGTTCAAATCCCAGCTCTGCCACTAGCTGTGTGATCTTGGACAAGTTACTTCACCTCTCTGGGCCTCAGTTTCTTTATCTGTAAATCAGCAGAGATGATAAAACCTATTCCAGAGGGTAGCTGGAAGGGTTAACTAATATTTGACATGTGATTAGAATAATACCTGGCATATGCATATGTGTGACACTCTAAATGTGTTCCTTTACATGGGCAAATAAATGAACCAATATGTATGTAAAGTGCCAATGCAGCAATTGATCAAATGAGTAGCATTTTAGATCGGCAGGGCCTTGGCAATTGCTATGAATGTGGTTGGTGGTCTGGTCTAAATACATGCAAATCAACACCAATAGTGACAGCAAATACACAGAGCAACTGCCTGGCAGTCCCTGTGCCAAGTGCGTTATACACAGAGTTGTTTCATGCTCATCATAATCCCTGGAGGGAGGTAGGTTCTGTTTCACTCCCATGCTAGAGATGAGAAAACCCTGATCTAGGCTCAGCACCTGTAGACAGTTGTTAGGGCGCCGGCCACATGCACTGGGGCTGGTGGATTCAAACTTGGCCTTGCTAAACAATTTTAAAAAATAGCTGGGTGTTGTGGCGGGTGCCTGTAGTCCCAGCTACTTGGGAGGCTGAGGCAAGAGAATCACTTAAGCTCAAGAGTTTGAGGTTGCTGTGAGCTGTGATGCCATAGCACTCTACTGAGGGAAAAAAAGGAAACCCAGATCTTGAGAGGTTAAGTAATAGCTGTCAGTTCAAACCTTTGAGTGCCCGAGGCCATGCTGACCCACTGTGGAGACAGCCCCTCTCCAGTGGTTCCACCCCTGAGCATTCATCATCCACTGGCCACTCACAAAACAAGGGCACCAAACAGCTCCTTTTGTCCTATCCCACCTGACAGATGGCTGTCCTAGGCTGCTTGTTAAATGTCTTTTCAGGGGCCTCACAGCAGGGAAGGGGCAAAGCCTCACCTGGAATCCAGGCTGCCAGCCTCCTAGTTCAGAGCTGTTCCCATTCAACAGGGCTTAGCAAACTGCCACTCATGAGCCAAATGTGACCTGCAGCCCGTATTTGTAAATAAAGTTTTATTGGAACACAGCCACATGCATTCCTTTACATATCATCTATGAGTGCTTCAGTGTTACAACAGCACAGTTGAGTGACTGTGACAGAGACCACTGGCCAGCATGCCTAAAACGTCTGGCCCTTGGCAGAAGAAGTTTACTGATCCCTGGTCTACCCCTTTAGTTTCTCTATGTTTAATAAATGTAATTAATTGAAAGGAACAGCATCTGTGATGTTTACAGCATGGAAAAGAAATATTTTGGAGGCTTGCTTTTATATCCCATAGGGTCAAAAACTGCCACAGCATGTTTTCTAAAGGTTACGGAAATCAACAGCACGTCTGGGCTTTAGAGAGATTGAGATTTATAAAATATGTGTTTTATGCCTCGGAAGACAGATCGACCCCGTGGAAACAACTGATATACTGAATTGGAAACATTCAAGGAAGAAACATTGTGAAACATCCCAAGGCCAATGGTTAGAGATGCCTGTGCTTGGAGGTTGCAGGACTGAGGGTGGGGAGTGGGACACTGGATAAGAACTCCCTGTCCTATGTGCCCTCCTAGGTAGTGCCTAGTACAGGCCTGGTGCACAGTACAGGTTTATAAATATTTGTTTATGGAAAAAACTACACAAAGCTCTTCTATGGCTCTGTACTGGTTTATCTGGGAGGGGTTCTGCTATCAATAATAATGGCTAATAACATTTGCTTGGCAGTATCTCCGTGCCAGCCTCTGCAGGGGCCACTAACACATGCCCTCCTTACAACCATTTTCTTCATGGGACTCTGTTTCTCGAAAGTAGTAATTCAGAGAAATTTAGCAGTATACACCTCTCAAAATGGAGACTGAAGATGGCAAATGCCTTTATTTGTTCTCAAGCTCCCTTACAGCTGAGCATGCGACAGGATATCGCCAATGACAAAGAAGGAAGGCTTCTTGGGGTATTCCAAGAAAGCTCTCCCCCTGATAGAGCCTTGAGGAGAATTCCTGCTCTCCTCCTTCCTGACTTGGGCCCTGTCCTGTGAAGGTGTGATGCACGGAGCTGCAGCAGCTATTTTGTGATCACGAGGTCAACAGAACTGTTGAGAACCCAACAGTTGAGGCACTGAATTGACTCCAGAACTATCTATCTCTGGATCTCTTGTTAAGTGAGAAAAAAACTCCTATTGTTTACATCTCTTTTATACATGTTTTATGACTTGCAGTCCAGAATACCCTGACTAGTAGGAGTAAGTTCAATATTATCCCCATTTTCTAGGAGGAGAAAACTAGGCCAAGAAAGTAAATCACAGAGTTAAGCATGTAACTACCACCATTTTAAGGTGACCTACATCACCTTAAATTCATGTAATCTCCCTGTAGGGTGGATATCATTAGCCCCATTCTACAGATGAAGAGACTGATACTTATTTAGGGAAGTTAAATAAACTGTCCAAGGGCACACGCAATTGGAAAGTGGCAGAGTTAGGATGTGAATTCAGATCTTAGTTCAAAGCCTATAGAATATCTCCTTGTTAATAAAACCAGCATTTCCCCATTTCTTCTTTCCTTGAATCGAGTGTCTTTGCTACACTGAGCAATTTGCAAGGCACTGGGGACTCAGAGCTATCAACAAGGTGGCTTCTGCCCCCCGGAGCTCAAACCACAGGATTAGTAGGAACAGAAGCATTCTTGAAGGCAGGTGTAGAGGTTACAGTGATGGATCCCTTAGCACACAGGTGGAGAGACCCCCTGGTCAGGGGCACAGGTTAGGGGAGGCTTCCTAGAGGTGACCCCCATGGAGTTGAGAATGTTCTAGTGTTCAGTCTAGTGGAGACACCAAGATAAAAACCATAACAAGTTGGGGCACAGTGGTTCACACCTATAATCTTAGCACCCTGGGAGGCCGAGGCAGGAGGATCCCTTGAAACCAGGAGTTCAAGACCAGCCTGAGCAAGATCAAGACTCCATCTCTACTGAATATAGAAAAATTAGCTGGGCATGGTTGTAAGCAGCTGTAGTCCCAGCTGCTCAGGAGGCAAGAGGATCACTTGAGCCCAGGAGTTTGAGGTTGCAGCAGGCTATGATGATGCCACTGCACTCTAATCCAGGTGACAGAGTAAGACTCTGTACCAAAAAACAAAACAAAATGCAACCAAAACCAAAACCAAAAACCCCAAATGGCTAAGACCCAAGGCATGAGGGAAGTTTACTCAAGGGGACAGTGAGCAGAAGGATAGCGGAAATTCTGCCGATGCAAGAACTTCTCATTTCCTGCCCCCGAATCTGGGTTCCCTCTGTCAGTAATGACATCTCTGTCCTCCTATGCTCTCCTCTCTACATGAACCTTTGGAGCCAAAGTAAACTCCTGTCTCTGTCTCCCCCTGCTCCCAAGTCAACTCCATTCTCCCTGAGCAGTCTGTCCCAGCTGTGCCCTCCCTCCAGCTCTCGGTCATCGTTCTGGTTCCCCTGGTCGACCCTATTGGCCTCCTAACTGGTCTCTCCCTCCCTCCAAACTCTCCCTCTCAATCCTTGAAGGCCAAAGCTGATGGTGTTAACAATTCTGCTATTCTGATTCTATGTATATGATTTAAAAAACGCACAGTAGGCTTGGTGTCTATAGCTCAGAGGTTAGGGCACTGGCCACATACACCGGGGATGGTGGGTTTGAACCTAGCCAGGGCTTGCCAAACAACAATGACAACTACAAAAATAGCCAGGCATTGTGGTGGATGCCTGTAGTCCCAGCTACTTGGGAGGCTGAGGCAAGAGAAGCGCTTGAACCCAAGAGTAGGAGGTTGCTGTGAGCTGTGATGTCACAGCACTCTACCCAGGGCAACATAGTGAGACTCTGTCTCAAATAAACAAAAACAAACACACACACACACACATACACACACACAAAACACAGTAGGTATCAGTGATGATAGGGTTAGGTATAACACTGTTGTTAAACCTGGAACATTCTTTTGCTCCCACAACACCCTGTTTACACCTGCCATGGCACTCACTCACCTGTCTGTCCACGGCTACAATCAGCCACCCAGGTGCCCCCACCTAGACAGAAGCATGTTCAAGGCAGGAGTGGGGCCTTGCTAGTCTTTGTTTCTTCCACAGAGCCGTGTATGACACTAAGCCAGGGGTCCTCAAACTTTTTAAACAGGAGGCCAGTTCACTGTCCCTCAGACCGCTGGAAGGCCGGACTGCGGGCCCTGGGACAAGTCAGCTGCTAAGCAGGACAGGCAGCGGCGGCAAAAACACCCAGCAGGCCAGATAAATGTCTTAGGCAGGCCACATGTGGCCCCCGGGTCCTAGTTTGAGGATGCCTGCACTAAGCACATAGTAGGTGCTCAACAAATCCATGTTGCATGAATCAATATCTCCCTCCTAGACTGCATCCTACCCGAGAGGAGAGATGGTGTCTATCTCATTCCCGTTTACCTTACATGTGTTTCAAATTGTGCCTGACACATAGTATGTGCTCAAAGTGTGCTTTGGTGAAGGTACAAATGAATGAATAACTGAACAAGGGAATGTCTTACCGCCCCCCCCCCACCAGACGGTGAGTTCCTTAAAGGCAAGGACAGTGACTTGCTTCCTTAGTGTTGTCCTGTAGTCCCTGGTAGGCTCCATGACTGTCCATAATCGCCTCCCTGAAGAAGAATGACCCTCGCTCTGTGAGATGAAAGAACTCACCTTTGCTCAGGCTCCGGAAATAGCTGGGACAGGGAGACGCCACAGAGGGCGGCATAGGCAAAGCGGTTGGCCTCAGCCAGCTCCCGGCCTGTGGGCAGGTGTGGCTCCCCCTCTGAAGCTGGCACCTGAGACATCTGAGCCAGCCTCCGGCTTGGCCTGTCCCACGTGGCCATTCCCAGCCCTGCAGGAAAAAAATCCCAGTGAGAAATGCTTCCAAGGGTAGCCAAAGATTGCTTAGAAGGGATGCAAAAGTTATAAACCATAACAGATACATTAGGCGTCGTTGAAACCAAGGCCTTCTATTCATCACTTTTAAGAAAGTGAAAATACTTGGCATAGACTGGGGCTGGGGGATAGATTTTTAATGTGAATATCAACAAAAGATTTGTATCCTCAGTATATAAACAACTCTTAGAAACCATCAAGAAAAAAAGCAATGATGCAAACATTAAAATGGGCAGAAGATTTGAAGGGATACTTCATAAAAGTGACAGCAATGGCCAGTAAGGGGTGGCCATTGAAAAGGTGTTCAACAGCATTAGTCATCAGAGAAACGGAAATGTAAGCCCCAGTGAGATACTACCATTTGCCTATCTAGTGGGTACAACCAAAAAGACCGACAATACTAAGTGCTGATGAGGATGAAGAGCAAACAGAACATGCCTGCACTGCTGGTGGGAGTGTAACCGGTACAGCACTGCAGAAAGTGGTTCCACAGTACCCACCAAAGCTCACCATGTGCCTTCTGTATGCCCCAGCAATTCTGCTCTTGGGAAAGGAGGGCTGTGCTCACCAAAGACACATCCAAGGATGCCCGTAGCAGCTCATTCACTACAGTCCCAAACTGGAAACAGCCCGCATGCCCATTGCAGAGAATAGATCAACTGTGTCATGCTCGTTCTGTGAAACATTACGCAGCAATGAAAACAGAATGAACTACGGCCAACCACACGGATGAATCTCACAGACAAAAGCCATTCGCAAGCAAGTACGCCCTGTGGGCCTCCCTTTGTGTGGACCTGAAGGACAGGGAAGCCCAAGGATGGTGACAGAAGTCACAAGAGAGGTTACCTGTGGGAGGGAGTATTGGATCTGAAGCGACACCAGGGGGAATTCTGGGTGATGGAAATGTTCTCTATCTAGGTGGTTACATGTGTGTAATACATTTAAAAATCCATTGAGCTGGATACTTAAGATTTGTGCACTTTATGTACAGTGGACCTCAATGGAAGGAAGGAAGCAAGAAGGAAGGGGGTCTCCTCCTTGTCCTCCTCTTGCTCCTCTCTCCCTCCATTCTTTCCTTCCTTCCTTCTTTCTGGGGTTGGGGTTGCGGGGCAGGGGAAATGAAGAGAAGCAAGGAAGTGGGGAGGAGACGAGAGAGGGGACAAGCCAAGCCAGGCTTCCACGGGGCAGGAATGGCCCTAGGAGTGGCCAGGAAGGGTACTTGGGACAAAAGGGAAGGGTGGCAGCCTCAAGTACAGGGCACCAGGGATACGAACAGAGGCTCAGGACTACACAGACCTAGGTTTGAAAACAAGTACTATCGCCTAGTAGATATGGGACACCGGGCAACCTTATTTTTTCACATCAAGGTCTTTCTTTCTTTCTTTCTTTTCTCTCTTCTCTCTCCCCCTCTCTCTCTTTCTCTCTGTTTCTGTTTTGTTAATCTGGCCCAGGAGAGGTTTGGACCCACTGCTCCTGGTGTGCGGGGCTGGCACACTCACCACTGAGATACGATACCCAGCTCATACTTAGGTTTCTTCACCTACAAGTGGGACCATATGGGACCCACCTGGAGGAGCTGTGTCAGCAGTAAACATCACAGCTGGCGTGGGTTAGTATCTGTAAAGCGCTTAGAACGCAGCCCACGGGGCTTATGCTGTATCAGTGTTTGCTAAAGAAATAAGTGCATAAAATAATCCACGAGCAAATAAGTAAAATGCTTAGCGTGGTGCCTGGCACATAGCAAAGGTGTAATAAACAATCAGAAGACCTAACATTACCGAGTTATTACTGCGAGCTGGGCACTGGGGCTGCAATTAGAACATGTGTGGGCTCAGCCAACTCAATGAGGCAGGTAATGTCCAGTCTGCAAATTAGGAAACAGACGGACAGAAGTAACTGCACCCAGGACACAGAGCTAGTAAATGGCAGACTGATGGAGCCCAGAGACACAGCTCTTGGCCACCATCTGTGTTTTAAATACCAGTCACATTGCCAAGAGCTTTCTCGTCTAATAACCACACTCCACACTGTTCTCAATCCCTAAGTTTGTTCCCAGCTAGTTGAGCAACAAACATTTTTGTTCTCAAAATATTACTTCTATATAGGAGTTATGTAAAAGTCTGCCCATGATCATAACTCATTATCTTTCAAAACAGCCCTGAAGGCCCAGTGTGGTGGCTCACACTTGTGATCCTAGCACTCTGGGAGGCCAAGGCAGGAAGATTGCTTGAACTCAGGAGTTTAAGACCAGCCTGAGCAAGAGACCCCTCTCCTTACAAAATAATAATAATAATAATAATTATTTAATTAATAAACAACCAGCAGAAGTAGTTGGTTGTTGTTGTGGTGGGCCGTCGTCGTCGCTGCTGCTGTGCGGGTGGTTGGTTTGTTTGTTGCGTGGAGTTGTTGGTTGTTGTTGTGTGGTCTGCTGTCCTTGGTGGTCTTTTCTGGTGTAGTAGCGTGGTGTTCTTTCTTCTCAAAACCCCCCGCCGTCCTTCTTCCCACCAACAACCAACCGCTCCTCCCACCCTTCTTTCGTTGTTGGCAGCAACTCATTACTTTTTTTGCATGTTGTAGTCTTCTGCGCATTTTTTTCTCCTTTTTTTCCTCCTCCGTAGTATGTTGTGTTGTTCAGTCTTTTGTCCACGATTTTTTCTTCTTACTTCTTAATAGTCTGCTCGGGGCGGCGCAGTTTTTTTCCCGTTGTTCCGTAGTTAGTATGCTCGTCGTTATTTTTTTTTTTTTTTTTTTGCGGCGTCTTCTTGTTTTGTCCTCGTTGGTGTGGTGTGGTGTTGCAGCTCACAGCAACCTCAAACTCTTGGGCTTAAGCAATTCTGTCGCCTTAGCCTCCCAAGTAACTGGGATTACAGGCGCCCCCCACAAAGCTCACCTATTTTTATTTATTTTTTATTTTTTGGTTATAACTGTCATTGTTGTTTGGCAGGCGCAGGCTGGGTTCGAACTCGCCAGCTCTGGTGTATGTGGCTGGTGCCCTAGCCTCTGAGCTACAGGTGCTGAGCCCCAAGTCAACTTTTAATCCAAACCTTGAACCCCTTCCTCTACATCAGCATGGAGATCTTTCCCTTGTTTCAGATGGAGAAACTGAGGCCCAGAGAGGTTAAGACCTTGCCCAAAGTCACTAGGCAAGACTGGCCTCAAGTTGCTCCAGGAGCCCAAATTTGAGATTCATAGCAGATTTCTCTGGCTCTGAGGATCAGCCCAGATCATGGTGGTGGAGAAACAAGGACAGCGCCATGGGCAGCTGTGATGTCAACGTGCTCAGCCATTTCCACTGCATTTAACCAGTTTCACATGCTTGGAGGCTGCGGTAATTCCACCTATGATCCAGGGGAGCCCAAGGTGATATTTTTATTGGGCTGGTGTCTGGGAAGGCCCTTGTCAGTTCTTAGCTCAAGAACAAACAGCAAGGCTCAGTGCCTGTAGCAAGTGGTTATAGCGCCAGCTACATACACTGAGGCTGGTGAACCGGCCAGGGACAGCTAAAACAACAATGACAACTGGAACAGAAAATATCCAGGTGTTGTGGTGGGTGCCTGTAGTTCCAGCTACTGGGAGGCTGAGGCAAGACAATCACTTAAGCCCAAGAGCTGGAGGTTGCTGTGAGCTGTGATGCCACAGCACTCTACCGAGGGCAACACAGTGAGAGTCTGTCTCAAAAAACAAACAAACAAACAGAAAGCATGAGCCAGCCTGTTTCTAAACACAGAGGAGTGGGGGATGTACTTAGCTTACAAAAAGCTCAACTCGGACCAAATTCATTCATTCAACACGATATACTCTGGATTCTGTACGATGCATTCTCTATGTGGTGGCCTGAGTGGCCTTTTTGTCGCATTTCCCATTCCCTTCCTTCTTTGTTTTAAGGCCTTCCAATGGTTTTCCCTTTTCCCGGGAAAAAAAAATCCTAATCCCGTGTGGTGGCCTACAAAGTCCTGTGTGATCTAGACCCTGCCTGCTGCTAAACTCCACCTCAGGCCACGCGCCTGTGTGTTCACTACGCTACACCCACACTGGCAGTCCTTCTGCTCCCGCCTCCCACCTCCCCACCTGCCATTCTCCCTGCCTGAACACCTTACCCCTGACTCTATATCATCCTGGACTCCGCCTGGATGTCACTTCCTCTGAGAGGCCTCCTTGACCACCACAGCTAAAGTATCTCTGCCCCTCTATCTCAGCACCCTCTTCTATTTTTATTATATTTATCCTTATTTAAAATCATAGTTTAAAAAAAACAACTTTTTGGTTTACTTGTATATACAAGTAGAACGTAAGCTTCCTGAAGCAGGCCCCCTGGTCGTTCCTCCCCGCTGCACCCCAGCTTTGTGTGCAGGCCCTGGGGGTACTGGAGGCATTCAACCGATTCTTTCTGGATGAAGGGAGAAGGGGGTTTTGTTTGGGGCCCCCTTTTTTTTTGGCCTTTGGGCCGGTTCGGGGGAAAAACTGATAAATTCCTTGCTTTTAAGGGGTGTACATTCTGGTGGGAGACAGGCAATAATGCATTGATACATGATGATAAAATGATTTGGGTAAGTTGGTCAAGGTTGCAGAGCTAGGAAGTAGTGGAAGCAAGATTCACACTCAAGAGGTCTGGCTGCAGGATCCAAGTCCTTTGCAGCCCACTGAAAAAATAAGTAAGCATCAGTTCAGGAAGTGGGCAAAGGCAATTAGGCAGGATGCGGGAGACAGGAAGTGAGGGGGTTGGAGGGCTGAATACTACATGCAGGTGACAGGTGCCATCCAGCAGAAGCCTGATGGAAGTCACAGAATGGGTGGGAGAGGGCATCTTTCTGCTTGTATGTCCCTACCACTGTCCTGTTTCCCCTGCTGGGTGTGACAATTAAGCTCAAAGTTTGAGCTTTATTTGAAGTTTTGGGGGACCCTGGTTTTGGATCTGGGGACATTCTTGGGTAATTTCAGATGCCTGGCCCTC